GTACATGCGTGCACGAAAAACTTCCGAGTTGCATTACTTTTGGAATCACCCAGATCACCCGGATTTGTAGATTTCGAACAGGTTGGTTTCGCGCGCATACAATCCCTCCCTGTAGACGAGAGGGTGTTTGAGCGGGCGCGAAATGGGGCGCACGCAGCCTTTCCCACCAATTCCTGAGCGCGCAACAAATGATGGAGTTAGCTGCATTGGCTGCATCAACGTCTATTCACACGCCCCCTCGTTTGCAGGGAATATGACTTTCAGTGATGCGACCAATAAATAAGAAATGCCTTCAGAACTGTGCTATGAAGTGAAACAACAGACTAGGACTGAGACCGCGTTCGCGACTGCAAACAAGCAACTTTTCAAACAAACCATTGTCGAGCCTGCAAACGTCACCGTGATTTCACCGAATGTCAGCGATCCACTTGTGGGAAAATATTGAAAGCACTTTTTTGCCCCCTTAAAAGGAAAGTTCGGAACTAAAGTGAGAAACTTCAAAACAATTAAGTTCGTACCTTCTCAACAAAATTGCACAACATGACAATAAATTCGACATGATCCTGCATACACATGAACCAGAATTCCTTGCAAGTTTTCTCCAGAGGGGCCTCAAACGCACAGCATGTGCGATCGTCGTGACGTTTTTAGGTTTGTATTAGTTACCTGAGTACAAATAAACCGCCTCGAACTGGTAGGTGTGCCTACGTAGTTGGCATGGATGTAGTCTTCTCCTCCGTAATAGTCCAGCTTTACTCTGGTCGCATCGAGACATCCGACATCCTGCAAACCCACATTCACCGATTCTGACGACAGGGAAGCCAAGCGACTATACCGTCTTTGAAAGGATATAGTGAGTACTGAGAATCGATGTAGTAGTGATCAGAGGATGGAGTTAGAGGTGTTCAGCTTTGATCAACCTTTTTCTGTCAAGTCAATAAAAGATTTTCCATGTTCAATCACAGTAGTCAAGAAACCGAGCAGTGGAATCAAATTTCGCCGAAAGCCAGGAGGACCGCGTGATGACTGTAAGATCCCTGGCGATCCTAGCGCTGGAGCACTGGGAAGGGCCCAATCTTCTACGAAAAACACTACATACATACAATACCGCGTAACTATTATCAGTACCGTTACAACTCATCGGTACATGCCTCGCAGTCCCCTGCCCTCTCTTGCATCTTCTTGAGCTCCTGCATGAGATATATGATAATCAGTCTGAGAGACGCGCAACTGCAAGATGGCCGAAAATGGTGCTGATAACTGACAGGATTTCTGTGCTGAGCACTAACACCTGCCTAATTCCCATGTTTCGAAAACGGCCCATTTCATCATGTTCTCCCTTTTAATGAACACTTGCAAATGTTTGGTGCTTATCATATTTCTGAAAGCACCACTCGTTGGAAAGTTGGAAATAGGACAGCATAGCGGTTGAAAGAATTTCAATGGTAAAAATATCGCAATTAAAGTGGCTCTTATGCCAACAACTCCAGCATCCTCTTTTCGGTGAAACTCAGCGTTTAGCGGTGGAAGCAATTCCGACCGCTAAACTGAGGGATTTTGCTAAGGGACAGAAACATCTTGCCTTTGCCCATTGATTCTTTGGCCACGGTGATGTGAGCATATACGGATTCCCAAAAGCCCTTGTCGGACACTGTCAGAATTTATCTCCCACCTTAATGTTCCCTAAGCACCTCTGAATTACTTGCTGGAGCAGTTCCCAGTGTTGCTACAACTCTGCTGTGAATTTCCGGGGCTATCTTATCAGCTGTTATCACTTCCTGCCACCCACCAATAATGTTCCCATCCTGCCCCTATCTTACTTCTTGGAACCAACGTCCCATCGTCGCTGTGGCCGATGTTATGAATTTGGTGACCCTTCCCTTCTGAGGCTCCTGATGTTCTTATCAGCTGTTATCACGTCCTGCCACCCACCGATAATGTTCCCATCCTGCCTTCTATATCACTTCTTGGAACCAAAGTCCTACCGTCGCTGTGAAGCACGTTATGGACTTTGTGACCCTCCCCTTCTAAGCTCCTTATGTTATCTTATCAGCTGTTATCACGTCCTGCCACCCACCAATAATGTTCCCATCCTGCCCCCTATCTTACTTCCTTGGAACCAACGTCCCGTCGTTGCTGTAGCCCGCCCTATGAATTTGGTGACCCTCCTCTTTCGCCCTCCTGTGGTATCTTATCAGCTCTTATCAGTTCCTGCCACCTACCAATAGTGTTCCTGCCCGACCTCCTACATCACTTATCAGTTTGAGCGCACTATCGCTGTTTTGAAGGAAGTTATGAATTTCCGGTCAAACACACATACAGACAGACAGAACAAACATTCACACACACAACCAACAGCACAACGCCACACACACACACCCACACACACACAACACCCACCACAGGACAACTTGCGATGATTTTAGGATGATCTCTGCCTCACGTCCCTATAACTGTATTAGTGATTTTGGTTGTGAAATACTGAATTGTTATGGTTCTGTCATGTTTTTTGGGTACAGTGTGCTTGCTCATAATCTGAAGAGGGTGATGGATAATGTGAGCAGTGACACCCATGGTAATACCTTTCCTATTGAAATCCCAGTTGTCTCCTCACCGTTTGCAATATGGACAAGGGTTGGTGTCCCGAACCATCAACATGACCTCAACTATTCAACTGAGTGTTCCACTAATACCTCCGAATGGAAGATGCCCATAATGGTCGCCCCAAGTTTCTCACGAACGCCAATGTTATAACCTAACAAAACTCCGCTTACCGCCGCTCGTATCCGCACATACAGGGGGGGGGCAAAAAAAGTCACTTCGACCGAGTCACATATCAGCAAAGTTTTCGCAGCCCAGAGAGAAGACGTGGATACGAGTACCAGGGCGGAAGATACCCAAGATGTTCCTCGATAAGCAGGAGCTGGCTCTCGCCCATCACCTTCATGTACACCAAAATATGAAGTCATCTCCAGTCGCAGCCTGACTGGAGAAGACCTTTGGAATTCATGTCACCTCCAAACAGCTGCGAAACTTCTAGTATGGAGTCACCCATGGATAGCTATCTACCCATGGGTGACTACCTGGAGACCTGGAGACTGGACCTGGAGCTACCTGGAGACCAGTACTCTCAATCTGGAAGACCTCCAACATCGAGCAGCTCCGACAACGTCGCTACGGTCTAGGACATCATCTTCACGGCAGTCGCCAAGGCGCGGGTTGATGGTATGGACCGGACGCACCTGGAATGGAAAGACCAATATTTTCTTCGTGGACCCCGGGCTGAAGCTGAGCGCTGGCGGTTACATCGACCAACTCAAGAAGAATATCTTCCCCACATGTCGTCGCCCGTACCTTCTTGGAAACTTTGTACTGCTACAGCATTGGGTGCCACCACGTGGAATCGAAGGGCGTTGGAGAAACTCTCGCCTACTGGAATGGAAGGGGGCTGAGTACCTAAAGAAGATGGAATATCCAAGTAGGTCACCTGACCTGAATCCCCTCAATTACCCGGTTCGGGCGGAGTTCAATAGGGTGGTCTACGGTGGCGGAGAAATCGACTATCTCGCTGATCTCAGGCACCACATCGCGGTCGCGTGCCAGAATCTCTCGATGGCGCTCCTCCAGAAGGCTGTGGCGGAGTGTCATAATAGTATTTAATATGCTCTTTAATATGGTGGTAGAAATGTCCGATCAGAATTTATAAAGTGTAACTTATAGCGCCTCGAAAGTCAATGAAGCAAAGTGACTTTTTTGCCCCCCCCCTGTATTGCCTGCTGTACTACGGGCGATGACAGGAAATACGATGGCAGCTCACAGCGACGTCACGAATTAATAAGCAGATGAAAACACACTATAACCAAAAGTAATAAATACATTTCTGGAGTTTTCTGATCGCAGGAGCACATCTGCTTGCACGGAGGAAGCCCTATCTAGAAGTTGCACCTTCCCAATACTCTGCGTGAGAGCCCTATGCATGGCGCATTGCAGAGGTGATGCCAATTGGCGCCCAATGAACTATTTCCTAATACCCTTGGCGAAAACATGCGTTTTAGAAGCATAAAAGCATACCAAAGTTCTCAAACGAACTGGAAGTGGTATGGCGTCAGAGGGGTGGGTTTTCGTGTCATCCGAAACGAGGGTCGCGTTACATCACAACGAGAGGGTTTTTCGAATAGCAGGCCTAGGGATAAAATGAAAGTCTCGCTAGAAAGTAGAAACCTTCGAAATTCTGCCACTGCTTTTTGACATCACAACACTTGGCGTGCCCTGGCTCCATCTCCGTTTCCATTCAAGGTCCGGCTTATTTCGTACGAGTTTTTCGGGGATTTTTACGGTGTGAAACTTCCGAGTAGCGGGGCTATGTGGCGGTCAGTTTGGTTCGGTAAGGCACCAATTATTGTCGATTCCTTAGACTCGGTAACTCCTGTGATACCATGCGATAGTATGAGCTTCGTTTACATTTGACAAGAGTCTACGGGTTTCACAAAGGTGAGACGTGTAACTCAGCAAAAGAAACTAGCAAGAGTGCAAAATGCTTCCCTCCTACAAAGCCGAACAGCTCCCGAGGGTTTCTCCAATCACGGAATCACATGTGAAATGTGCCCAATTTTTAAAATGGGCTATTAACATAAGTTGTTTGTTCGTGCGTTTCAGTCACCAACGATGCCACATTACGCCTACCTAAACAAATATCGACCAACGCCACTCTTACATTTTTCTTGTTTTTACTGTCGCAGTAATATGAAACATACCAGCTTTCATGGAAGTGCAAGCAGTTCGTGCACTCAACGAACACTAGTTATGCCATTAAACTCTCACATCCCTGTGATTTCATTTGCGCACGGGCGGACGATGCCTACATATCAATGGGTCTGTTATGATTACGCTGCCCAAACCATAAGAATCGAAGTCTGGAAATGCAGCTGATCTATTGGAAGCTTTACGAGTGGATACGAGGAATGTAAGGAGAATCACATATTCACAATGAATATCAGATGGGTCATAAACGGAAGCGTTTTTGTCAAGTGAAAGTTTGCTTGACTGATGAAACGTACTGACAATGCTTTCTATATTCGTCATCACCTTCTTTTCGCGTTTAATCGAGGTGCTAAAGTAGAGGAAACCTCGTGAAGGTCATGACCAAGAAGCTATTCCTCTCAGGAGGGTTTGAACTCTCACCGGGCACCCTATTCAGTTCAGCGAGAGGCTGCTCAGCTTATTCATGTAGACCCAAGTCAAATGACGACCTGGATCGGCAGAGACCATGGAACGCACCCATTCTGCTATTGGGTGCCGCTATCACTTGTTGGGAAATGCTCAGGACCATGGTGCATGAGTTCCGCCGGCTCTCATTGAGCTCGGCAGATGCTTGGTGCGATGTGCATTAGCGAGATCGAATCTCCTGTTTCAAAATAGCTCACGCCAATTCAAAGACGTCCACATCACAAGAGATACCCTAAAAATCAATGTGCAGAAGATATAGACCATATTATCTTGCAGTGCGGGAAGTTCTTTATCAAAATCATCATTGCTTATGAACCAGCGCAAAATAGCATAGATGCCTTCATGCTCTCGATCTCGTTAATCCTGTCTACCTCATATACACAAGCACTGTTTGACTTTGTACAATCTAAGATCACTAGCTGTGTCCACAGATGGTCGGGGGGGGCGGAAGAGGAGGGGCGGGGGTAAGGGAGAGATCTTCAACTTCAGTAGTAAGTTAAGGTCTCACTAGAAGAAGAATTATACTACTTCCC